GTGGCGGGGGATGGTCTGAGAAGATGTGGCCATGCGGGGGGGGATGCTCTCAGGGAACATGGCTGTTCCAGGGGGGCCACGGCCATGCCAGGGGATGCCTGGTGGCTGTGGGGCACGGATGGGCAGTGGGGCCAGGTTCTGACACTCTGTCCCCAGATGCTGGGGCAGTTCATCGCCCGGGCGGTGGCCGACCATGCGCTGCCCCTGGACTTCCTGGAGCGCTACAAGGGGCGCGTGGACTGCGAGCACGCCAGGTAAGCGCCGCCCCGGCCCCTGCCACCCCCCCGGCCCGCCGCCCTCACCCGCCTCTCCCGCAGGGCCGCCCTTGACCGCGCCGCTGTCCTGCTCCGCATCAAGCGCGACGTCAACCGGCTGGACAACGTCTGGGGCGTGGGGGGCGGCCAGCGCCCCGTCAAGCACCTCGTCAAGGAGGTCAGTGCCCGGCTGCCCCTCAGTCCTGTCCCGCACCGTGTCTCCCCCTGCTCCGTGCCTTGTCCCTGCACCCCCCTGCCTCCAGGTGTGCTTCCAAGATGTCCCATGGAGGCCCTCCTGCCACATCCTTCTGGATGTCACCCTGGCTGTGATGTGTCCCCCCTAACACATCCCTGCAGCAGCAATCTCCAGCTGTCCCTGCGCCCTCACCCCGCCCAGCCATCCCCATATTGGTCCCCCTGTGCCACCCTCGTGTCCCCGCCGTCCCCATGCCCCTGCCCCAGCTGCCTCTGTCCCCAGATGAACCTGCTGCTGCGGGAGTACCTGCTCTCCGGGGAGGTGTCAGAGGCCGAGCACTGCCTGCGGGAGCTGGAGGTGCCCCACTTCCACCATGAGCTCGTGTACGAGGTAAGGGCTGGGGGTCCTGGGCTGGGGGAGGGGTGTCCACCCGCAGCCCTGCTAATGCCCGCTGCCCGCAGGCAGTGGTGATGGTGCTGGAGGGCTCTGGAGAGGGGCCAGTGGCCATGATGGTGACACTGCTGAAGGTGCTGTGGGAAACGGGACTGGTGACACTGGACCAGATGAACCGGGTGAGTGTGGGGCATGCAGAGGGGGGGTCAGTGAGCAGCCTACCCCCGGGGCTAACACTGCCATGTCCTGTACCCGCCCTGCCCAGGGCTTCCAGCGGGTGTACGAAGAGCTGGGGGACATCAGCCTGGACGTGCCGCTGGCCCACAGCCTCCTGGAGCGGCTGGTGGAGCTCTGCTTCGACCGCGGCATCATCACCAAGGCGCTGCGGGACGCTTGCCCCGCCAGGTACCGGGGAGGTCACAGCGGGGGAGCCTGGGGGGGGGTGGCTCCCCCTCTTCATCCTCCTCCTCCTCCTCTGCAGGGGCCGTAAGCGCTTTGTGAGTGAGGGTGACGGGGGACAGGTCAAGCAGTGAACAGACCCACCTTGGGGCGCTGCCGGCCGTCGGCCCCCTGCAGCGGGCTGGCGGTTGGGGGGCGGGGGGCCAGGGCCTGCTGGGAACAGGGGTGGCCCGTGGGACCCCTGTCTGGCCGTGGGGCTGCCCCTGGGACCCCCGCCCGGCCATGGGGGGGCTGAGCAAGGGACACAATAAAGCGGCTTTCGAGGATGTGCTGAGCCTGGTCTCTGTGTGTGTATGTGACACTCGGGGGGATCCCCGACCCCGAGGGGACGGGGACCCTGCCGTTCTCCCGCCCGTCCGCTAGGGGGCGCCAACACCCCACCCGCGGCGCTCTCCCCGCGGTCGCGCGGTGATGACGCCAGCGGCGCGGCCGGGCCATGGCGGGCGAGCGGCGGCGACGCGGCGGGGAAGGGCTGCGGGAACGGACTCGGGAGCGCGGGGCCCGGCGGGAACGGGAACAGCAGCGAGGACCGGGCCGGGGCCGGACGGCGCTGCTGGTAACGGCGGCGGCGGCAGCGCTGGCGCTGTGCCTGGCGGCGGCGGTGGCAGAATGGAACCGGTGGAGCGCGGCCGCCCGCCTCGTTACTCCTCACCCCGCTCCCCCCGCGCTTCCTCCCGGTTCTACCGGCCCCCTCGCCTCGCCCAGCCGTTTCTGGGGCACTTATCGGCCTCACGTCTACTTCGGGATGAAGACACGAACCCCGCGGGCTCTCGTTACCGGTGAGGGATAAGGGCGGGAGCGGGGGGGGGGGGGG